AAAAAAAAAAAAAAACAGAGGGTGGGGAAGAAGGAGAGGGCCCTCTGCTCCCTAAATTATACTGGTCTCCTGAATTAACTCCACTGGCTTCAGCAACCTTTCTCCCTCTCTCCCACCTAAGAGGGGAAACCAGCTCCAGGTCTGTTTTTAAGGCAGATGGTTCCCCCATTCCAATCTCATCTACACCGTGTATTGCTGAGCAATCATTTACACTATTAATCAACCAGAAACTCACCAGAAAGAAAGTAGGGCAAGTGAATAAAGATAGACTTCTCTTTTTTTTTTTTTTTCTTGCACTGAAGCAAATAACATTTCTAAAAATACACTTGTTCAAGTCTTCAGCGGATTTTGCTTGATTTATTTGTCTATGCAGCGGGTTACGAGGAGCAGCCGGGCTGCTGCCTCCCGCAAAAATGCTGTTTCTCTCAATGACTCCCCATGCTCGTTCCCAACGAGCTGTTCTTACGGCCAGGAAGATGGGGAAAAGGAAGAAAGTTACACGAGAAATGGACCAGGGGGGACATCAGGCCACAGCCCACGCCGCGGCTGACACGTCTGACGAGCCTGACATTTCAAGGGTACATGCTGGGCTTCATTTTCCAGGGGGGTGAGGAGGAGGCAGCGCGCAGGGACACCGCGGGAGAGGGATGGAGAGAGGCTGCGGGGCCGGGGCGGGGAAAGCGGGGCTCTGGGGAGCAGCTCCGCAGCCCGGCCCCGCGATCCCCGCGTGTCCGCCTGCCCACGGGGGGATCGCAGCGCGGGGGTGTCCGGGTGGGACCCGCGGACACGCACACGCGGACACGCACACACCTGCGGGGGCACGGCGGGCACACACACACACACACACACACACACACACATGTGCGGATGCGCACACCCGCAGATCCGCGCACACATGTGCGGATGCACACACGTGTGGATGCGCGCACACGCGGCGGCGGGCACGCACATGCACGCGCACACGGGTTGTCTTACCCGCATTTACATACGTGCAGGCGCACATCACACACACACACACACACACACCAAGCACCGCGGACCCCCAGCCCCATCTCCCCGCCATCGTGGGATGGATGGATGGATGCATGCATAGGTGGATGGATGGATGCATGCATGCATAGGTGGGTGGATGGATGGATGGATGGATGGATGGATGGATGGATGGATGGATGCATGGATGGATGCATAGATGGATGGGTGGGTGGGAGGGGTGCCGCTCCCGCATGCCTCCCCGCGATCCCCGGCCCTGCGCCTCACCCGCAGCGCCGAGAGGTCTATCTCGTCCAGGCTCCGCGCCGGAGAGTCGCTCGCCATATTTCCGCCGCCGGCCAGGCGGCCCCGCCGCCACCGACCGGGCAGTGGCGGCCGCCGCGGCGCTGGCGCTATTTAACGCCTCTCCTCATGCGGGGCGCCGGGAAGGAGAAGCCGCCGCCGCCGCCCCTGTCCTTCCGCCCGCAGCGCGGCTGCCTAGCGGCGGCCAGGCAGGCAGGGCTCGCCGCGGGCTGCTGCGCCGGGATGGCGGCGGCGGCGGCGCATCGCCGCGCCCGCCCCGCACCGCGCCCGCCCCGCACCGCGCCCGCACGGCCCCGCGCCCGCACGGCCCCGCGCCGCCCCTGTCTGTCACCGCGGGGGCGGCGCCCGACCCGCCGCCAGGGGGCGGCGCCGCGCGGGGGCGGGCAGAGCCCCCTCAGGGCCGGGCGGGCGCCGCGCCGGGACCGCGGCGGTGGCGGCGGAGGGCGAGGGGACGCGGCCGGGGTGGTGGCGGTGGTGGCACCCGCGGAGGGACCCGGAGGGACCCTCAGGGCGTCCGGACCCTCCGGGGTGCGCGCCCAGCGGCGCACAAACGGGCTCGTGCAGCTCGCAGATCCCCCCCGACACTGACAGGCGCAGCGCCCGGGCCGCCTGGGTTCCCC